ATCATGCGATGTGGCGAGTTTCCCTTAGTCGAATATTAAAGCTATTTTATCGTATCGTATTTGTATGATTATATTTTTAGATGTTCCTATCCGTTTGCGATCGTCTACTGGATAAAGATAATTTACAAACTATATCCGACTCCGGTGACGCGGTGAGTTGACATTCGTAATAATTATGTGTATATACTTTCCTCATAATTAAACTTATCCATGTAAAAAATAATCCTTAAACCTTTTGTACATCAAAGTCATTTTAGAAATTTCGAATCTATTTGGTATTTAGGGAGTATTTTAAAATTACTATCTGCTTTTTCTACTTCAGCTCTCCAATTGTGCAAGAACAATTATAATAATTCTTATTTTAGGCAATGCAATAGGAGAGATAGTAAAATGCAAAATATTTAAAGATTCTAATAATTATAATTTAAGCTATATTCATAATATGAATATAATTCTAATAATTATAATTTAAGCTATATTCATAATGTGATAAGTTCAGATTTTAACATAATAACTGAACATATGATAAGTTCAGTTATTAACCAAATTGGCGGTAAACTAAAATTTCGTACAGGCAAGCGTTCTTTTTAAACGAAAACACAGGTAAATTATTATGCTATGCTCTCATCCAACGTCACTTCGATTATGTATGTTACTCTTGGTACTCGGGAGCAACAAAATACCTCAAAAGTAAACTTCAAGTAAGGCAAAACAAAATGGTTAGGTATATATTGAACGAGATGCCTAGAGCCCATATTGGGCAAAAGGAGGTAGGTAGACAGCGTTGGCTTATGTAGAAGACCGAGTAACTCAGATAAAATTCATTGAACATGGTACATAAAATCATCCATAATTCTGCAGAAGCTTACCTTCATGATAACATTTTTAGAACTTGTGAACAACATAGTTATAGTACTAGGCAGAGTGAATCTCATCCAACACAGTAGACAGTACGCTTTATGCCTCAGCAATCAAAGAATGGAACACATTACCAATGGAATTAAGAACACCGTAAGCATAAACTTGTTTAGAAAATCGGTAAAAAAACTCTTATCTAACCTGCGTTACTAATTACTGTAAGTGATGATTTTTAAAACTGTATTCCTTAATTAAGTGATGATTTTTTTAATTTATTTTATCTAATTTTATTTGCTGGACCCCAACGGAAATAAACTTGTGTAATTGCTTTTGGGCTATCCTGATCAAAATCAAATTGATGTTTTAACGCTTTTAAAAATCTTTTTCTTTTTGTCAATATTTTTATTGTCCTAGTTTTTATCGCTGTTGTCATTTTCATTCATGTTGTTTTACTCGTTTTTAGACCACTTATTTTACCTCTCTTAACCGTGTTTTATTGCCCCGTTATCATTTTAACATCTCTTTCTCATGTTTCTTGTTTTTTATCTTGTGATTTTGGTCAAATAAATGAATGAATGAATATTTATCTAATTTTCCCGTATTTGGATTTGATCTGACATCATTATGCCAATGTAAATATATGAGATATGACAATATCATTGATCAAATAATCGACATTGTAATTGATCATACCCATATAATGGCAATTCACACAAGCTGTCACAAAACTAGATAGTGGATAGAACCAAAGATAATAGAAGGAGAAAGATCTGAAGCCGAAAAGAGTGAAAACAGCATCCTGGTTACTTAGTTCTTCGATCGACCGACGTTGGCGCATTTGGCTTATGAAGGGCGCCACTATGAGGGACTAGGGAACATTTCATGACCGACGCGATTGGTTGTTAGCGGGTGATCACTCTCTTGTTTGTGTGTTTCCTGTCATTTCTCCACTCTATCATTTATAATGCGATCTACACGAAGAGCACACTCGTCTGCTATTAAGTACTTTTAAGTATAAAGGTCTGCTTTATATTTTGACATGCATGATGTATCAATTGCCTGCAGACAAACTCTGAAGAAACGTCAAGTAATATGGTATTGATGTTGGAAACCTTTGCACTTGAGTTGGCTAATAACATCGATGCATCAAACGCCAGTGTATTTTCATACACCTCTGAAAACTTAGGTAATCTAAATGTCATTCTTGTATTATACTATTACAAATAATTTTGCCTGCAACAGTATACAATGCCGCGTTATCGTTTGAATTTGAAATTATTTATTTTTTTGCAGATATGCATATAGACGCAGTACCAAATGACGTCATAGCATCAGTCACTTCGCTGTACCTGGAACAAGAAGACTTGGATTTCCAATGCCCAACCGCTGTATTAAGTGGAGACGGTATTATTCTATGTCTGTTTGTAAATGTGAACAAACTATAATGACATATTAGGCCCATGGTTGGCGTTTTTAACGCATTAAAAATTGATATACTTTATCATATTATTTTTATAATATTTGGCTCTTTTTGGATTGCTTTAAACCGCTTTTATTGTTCTCTGACTAAAAAATGAAAGCTTCGTCTAAGATATCTATCCTTAATTTATGAATATAAAACTACGCTAATTGCTAATTAAAGTCTAAACGAATACAGATAACGACATCTGTGGTATATTGATACACTTTTGTAAATTTATTAAAAGTATTAATACTAATTAAGCTGTTGCAATTGATAACTAAGTATTAACTAATTTATTAACTGTCTATTATAATCCACGTTTGTAGTCTTTGTAAATTTACATATCTGCTGTAGAACTACAGATAAAAGTATTTGCTTAAATGATACTTAATTGATTATCATAAATATATTGCTCTATAAAACATTTTTATGAACATTATTATATCATTGGTATGTTTGTTAACTGGCGAAAAGTTCTATTGAAGAAAATTTATACAAAGCAAGCAATGACAATTACTAAATTTGAATTGTTTGTGTTTATTAGAGCAACATAGGCTGTATATCTTTGTACATTAACATTTTCCTGTAATTTAATTACTGCAGTAGAAGTCATGCAAATTTATTTGCAACTGTATACTACAACTTTTAGAAATGTTTGATGTAGGCCTATGTCACATGAATATAATTTATATTTCAGTCAAAGTAGTTACAGTGATTCCTAAGACTCTTCATGTGTCGATGTCAAGCCAATTGGAAGACGGTACCAACAGTACCTCTATAATATTTGGCTCGTATATCACGTCACTTTCAGTAACATCAGATAAAACAATTGACTTTAGTGATGATCCCGTGGAGATAAGTATCAGGCATTTACAGGTGAGTCGGTATCATACTTCGGCTGTGACAATTACATAATCAAAGCCTTCCACACTCAATGACAATTTGTGAAAAAAAAAAAAATAAATTCGCTATCAGCATTGGAGTATTTTTTGCTCAATGTATTATATTATATTATATTATAATCATAGAATGCAATCAGATGCCATTATACATGTAGCAAATACATTCAAATTTTGTTTCTCGATTCATTGCTTGGGATCCAGAGGCTAAATCTTCGGTTGTTACGAGCAAGTCATGATAAATTCGCTCGGTGGCTCTCGGTGACTCGTTTCCGGACGAGATAGGCCTACCGAAAGCTCTCTGATATATGACATGTGTCCTGTATGCAAATTATGCAACGAACCGTTTCGCTAAGCCTAGCCCCTGGATATTGTTTTTTAAATGTTAGGAAGAAGACATTAATATAAAGACACGAATTAGCTCAGATAATGAGTGATTCAGAGGAAGTCCAATACATTATTTTATAAGACATATGAATAAGTAACGATGCATTTTTAATACATACAATTCAATGAATTGAATAATTAAAAACGACTTAATTGAACCAATTAATTTTTAATACTGACAACTATGAGTGATGTCAGAATGAGCTCGGATGTTGATGTCATTACTAGGAGTTGATGGTAGGCCTAAGCTAAATTGATATGATAATATCTTTATTGTTAATGCCGATTATTCTTTAAGCATAATATTATTTGATTTGCATATCTACCATTTTTACAGGCGTTTGGAGATGGATATCACGCTGTCTGTGCATTTTGGAAATTCTCAAACAAGTGGGTAACAAATTCGAAAATAATACTCTGTGATACCACGAGATATTATTGTACACTATAAAACTGTAAAATAGATGAACATTTTTTGTATACTGCTATTAAACGGCTATGCATCCTACATATTCTAATCAACGCAATTATCTTACAAGTAACTCATTATTTTAACTTGTGCTGTTTTAAAAACTCTTTTCCTAGTTCCACTGGCGGAATATGGTCCACCGATGGATGTGAAGTCGTAATATCTGAGACATCAAAAACTGTCTGTCGGTGTAATCACTTGACAAACTTTGCCATTCTGATGAGAGTCAGCCCAGAATCTCCGGTATGAAAAAAAAAGAAAGAAAAGAAAACAAGCGCTAAAAGAATTGGAATATTTGTTATAGAAGGTTCAATAGATTTTATCCGAGAATTAACTCTTCATGCATACGTATTAAGCGGCAGTCTTTTTGCTAAACAAAACCACAAAATAGATTTTTGTTACAAAGCGATAATTTCAGGTCAATTTAACAATACGATTCATGCTTATTTCTTTAAAAAGAACAGCAAAAATTAACATAGCAGCATTACGCTGAATTGCTTCATACTAAAACTAAATTAAAAAAAAAAAAACAATAACATCAAGAGTAGAAAAGCAAAAATTAACAACAGTAAAACTGTTTTCAATATTTTACAATCATTCACAGAAATTATGTAATCTTTAATGAATTACAATATATTTATATACAATTACAATACATTCGTATGTGTTATCTCTGAGGAAGAGTACAGGCGCGCTCGAAATATTCGAAATAAAAACTTCTTTATGTCTCTCTCTCTCTCTCTCTCTCTTTCTATATATATATATATATATAATATAGATTAAAAGGCAAAATACTGAAAAAAAAACAATGCTGTGGGAAACAATGGCTGGATCTCAGTAGAGATACAAAAATGATAAGCCATAATGCTGTCTCTTATACACATCTAGATGTGTATAAGAGACAGATATATATGGAGGAATGTTAGTTTACAGTACACAGACATGACAACAAGTCAAAAAGTGAATTGGTTAATAAATCGGGAGACAACATGCTCTTAATACATACAATTCCTAATCATTAGTGTACGCTCTCAAAGACACTGTGGTTTAATCATTGCCAAGTTTTGAATTCAGGGATGTTTGGTAATATAAAATCCTTGTTCTCATTACAACTATGCCATATTACACACAATTTTGTGAGTTTTTGAGTATTACTAACGTTTGACCTAAAATCTATAAACTCTAACCGCATCCGTAATAACAATAATTTTTGGGTAGGTCTATAAAACGACAAAAATATATATAAAGGATTTTTTTTCTTATCCATTTCTATTATATGATCACAATGGAAACGGTCGAAATTAATATTATTACACAACATTTAGTTTAATGAAATTAGGAAGGTGTATTCTATTACAATTGAGGTGGTTTTAATTTTTGGTTCAGGTACTCTCTGTCGCAGACGCCACTGCTTTAGAAGTTCTGACGTTTCTACTCACATCCTTGTCGATTATTTCTTTGGTATTAACAATTTTGACTTACATTTACTTGAGGTATGTTATATGAATGTAGCGCTCTTATAACAAACCAGTTGTAGATATAAATAAATAATTTTTAAGTTGTATTTGATTTTGAATCCAATACAGGGTTGTTACAAAAGCCAGAAGAAATTAATACACAAAAATGTGCGAGTCTAACAATTTGGGACAGGAGTGGAAAAGTAAATTCTGACGTTACGATCAGAACAACCAACACAGAGTCTAAATTAATGTAATTTGGATAATATTATTATTGGCGGATTCAAGGAGGCCCAGCCCCAATCTTTAAAAATCATTTAAAAAAAATAGGGTAAAAACTATATTCAAATTTAAATCTGACAGTGCCATATCCGGCCATCATTAAGCTTATTTTTAATTACACTTTTTTGACGTTGCAAGGCCTATTATGTATGCATTGTGTCTGTATTTAGCATTTTTCTATCTTTGTCAATTTATAGTCAGAGGTATGCCTTGGTCCCGACCGTTTTTAATGTCACTATTAAGAAATCAAGTTACAGTACAGATCGTCTATTTTATTCGTGTGGGAAATTTTTAACCAACCTATAAACCTACTGTATAGTTTAAGGCTTGTGGAACACCCCAAAGTAAATTATTTGGAGCACATGCATATTAGTGGAGTTGTAACTGCAGTGCATTGAGACCTTAGTAACAACAACAATAACTATAATATTATAAGCATTACCTACCATTAAGGTACTTGCTTTTTAATTACATGGCCTTGGTAAAACTTCTGTCAAAGATTTGGTCCTCACGACCAATACATCGTCACCGATACTACGAAGTGACACAAACCTGAATATTCAAAATTTAGCGAACAAACCGAGGAAAATGGATTTTCAATTTTCACGGACAGCCACAAACTTGTTGGTTATCATGATATAGACGCGTCTGCGGCGTTGCAATCATTGTGATCGGCTGATTAGGCCTGGTTAGGGCTAAATCTAAAAAATATATTTCCCTGAGTTACCTAGGCTTAGCGGTACCCTTCTTGCAGTATAAATCGCCCTTGACTACAATGGTTAAACATATAAAATACAGTTTCTGCCTTAAAAACGGAGCGAGTACAGCGCGTTCCGTAACAGACACAAACTTAACTCTATAGGTGTAAATAACATAGGCCTAGTTCAGACTAGGTGGATAAACTCGGCTCAACTCACCGGGTTTATCCACCTGCCAGTCTGAACTAGGTGGCTTATCTCAAGGCTCGCAGCCGGTGAGTGTTCCTATAGTAACTAGATCTGGCGTGCCACCTTGTTTAATTTTTCTAAAGCCTGGTTCACACGAGAGCCCTAGTATCCGGATTGCGAACTAACCGTTAGCGCTAACCGTTAGCACCGTGTGAGGACGTCCGGTGTTTAGCACTAACAGTTAGCGGTATCTGGATACCGACAACGGTTAGCATGTGCTATTGGTTAGCGAGTTGAGAGGGAAGTCTCAGGAATCGAGTGCTCCTTGTATTGTCATGTTGTAATTGTATTTCTTTAATGTTGTTTTATCAAGATGTTTGGTGTATCAATAAAGTAACCGTGTTTTATGAACTAGTCAACTTCAAATGCGTTTTCCTCAAACGCCGCCTTAGTCGAAATTGAAATCTGTCTCTTCGTGAAAACGGTGATGAAATAAATAAATCCACCCCCTAAGCCTCATAATCTGACAGTTTATGTAGAGTATTATGTGTATGTGTGCTTGTCTTGTGTGATTCATCATGCTGCTGCTATCTAAACATTAATTTGAATCATGATTATTCAATTTCATACAGAATCTGGAACACACGTCGCAACATTGTCCACATAAATCTGGCATCGTCGCTTGCTACAGCACAGATTCTGTATTTATGCCTCATTGAGCGTACAGAAAATGATGTAAGTTCACAATGTTATTTATTATAATGTTTAATGTTCAAACGTTGTAATAGGGCCTATGTCTTTACAACAATGAATAGACAGAATTAAAAAGGATGGGGAGTGATTAAGAAAGTGGTAAAGGAAGGGAGAGAGAAATTACTGAAGAAGGCATGAATATAACAATGCTTTAAGATTCTTATAAGAAAATTTAGTTTACGGAGGGTCATTTTAAATATTCCATTCTATATTAAATCTCATATGAATATAATAATTAAGAGTCAATAGATGATCAGTACCTACCGTTAAGCCCATGGTCAGGTTTATCTATTATCGTCCACAATTAGAGTAATTCTTACACTCCAATGAAAGGTTTCTACACAATTATTTAACTGTGAAGTTTCAGGGTAATAGGACTTTGAACAACTACAATCTCCAAAAGACTGTACGTTATACTGACGTTTACGTTTCCACCAGTATACCTTGAAAGCTTTTAATAAGTCAGTCACTGCAATGTTGTGATCGTGATTTCTTTAGGGGATTTTTATGCTCTTTTAAATCAAAGTGAGTTAATTGTTCATTAGTAATTGAACTCATTGAAATTCAGTGAATAATTACTGTTACTTATCTAAGCATCTATTATATTACTTGCACTCAGTGGCGTATCTACATGGGGTGTGGGGGTGCACTCCTCCTCAAAAAATTACTCACGCCCCCAGTCGCCCCCCCCCCCAGAAAAATCACGGTCA